TTATTAACCCTCTACAGAGGCCATCGTAGAATAGTGTTTCTCGGCCAGGTAAAGATGAAAGCTTGAGAAAAAGAATAATACAGTGGGGTTTTAGGAGCTAGATTTCTCTTGCACTACAAAACAAAAGGTAGTCCGTGTGTATAAATATTTTAGGAGGGAATGATTTAATAAAAAAATTTAAAAAATGATTTGCTTCACAACGTAGGATGCAGGCAACAAAATATATTTATTGACTATAAAATATATATACATTTTGATGCCTTCACCCTATGTTGTGCAGTGGCATTTCCAGGATTTATATTTAGGGGGTGGGGGGAGGTACATAATGGGGCCAGGGACAAAAGTAGGGGGAAGTTATAAAACGTGTATATATGTGTGTGAGTACATATACATATATTTATATATATATTTCCAGTAATTCCTTACACTCAAGCTATATCAAGTAAAGTGCCGGGTGCATACAGCCTGGGCCAATCATTATAGAAATATCAATGGAGAAGCTGGCACTCACGGTCTTCAAATGGTTAAAAAAAATGAAATTTTATTGAAAAAACTGTTTACAAATATTGACGTTTTAGTCCCCTTCCGGGACTTTCATCAGGACCAAGGATATACATATCCTATATACTGTATATATATATATATGTAAAAAACAGATAACATTTGTATCTTATAATATCTTTTTTATTGGACTAATACGGCTTCAATCTCAACTTGAACACTATATATATATACACCTTTTCACAGAAACTGGAAAACCTTTTCAGGAGATGCAAGATAATTTTCCATGGTGTTTAGAAGAAGCTGTGGTGAAGTGTGTGTATAGAGGAGTCTGTTTATGGTGTACTATGTGTAACTAGGGGCTGTACTGTAAGCACGTGCTCATGTATAGAAGCTTTAGAAATTGTGTGTGTGCTGAGAGGGCATATAAAGTGTGTGTGTGTGTGTGTGTGTGCATCTAGGGGCTGCATTGTGAGTGTATGTGTATTGGGGTTGCATGCTTATCAAGGAGCTGTGGTGTGTATGTGTGTATGTAATGGTGGCTGTATGTGTGTATGATTCGTTGTGTAATGGGGTGAAGTATGTATGTGTCTGTGTGTGGGGGGGTGAATGTAAGTGGGGATGAAGTGTGTATGTGGGTAAAGAGATGATGTGTGGGATGAAGTGTGTAAGGGGTGCACTGTGTGTGTATGCAAAGGTGTACTCTGTGTCGGTGGGAGTGTACTGTATGTGGGGGTTCAATGTCTGTGAGGGTGTACAGTGTTCTTTAAAAAAAGTAAAAAAAAAAAAAAATGTAATCCCCTTTTCCTGATCTTACCTTGCAGGGAGGGGGTGGCACAACCAGTTCCGTGGTGGTTGAGAAGGCTGCCTATCCATCGGGTATACCAGATGAGAGGTATCTCTCTTGGAGATCAGGCACATACACAGACTGACCCATACAAACCCACAGACTGACCCCCACACACACACAGACTGACCAATACACACACACAGACTGTTCATCCACACACAGACTGACCCCATACACACACAGACTTTGCTGCAGAAGGATTTAGATAGACTGGGGGACTGGGCACTCAAATGGCAGATGAAATTTAATGTTGAAAAATGCAAAGTTATGCACTTCGGCGTAAAGAATACACATGCAACGTATACCCTTAATGGAAGCGAATTAGGGATAACAACACTCGAAAAGGACTTGGGAATTGTTATAGACAACAAACTATGCAACAATGTGCAATGTCAATCAGCAGTGACCAAGGCCAGTAAGGTATTGTCATGCATGAAAAGGGGCATTCATTCTCGGGACAAGAATATCATTTTGCCTCTTTATAAATCACTGGTAAGACCCCATATTGAATATGCTGTGCAATTTTGGGCACCTGTTCTAAAGAAGGATATTATGGCACTAGAAAAAGTGCAGAGGCGGGCTACAAAATTAATAAAAGGAATGGAACATATCGGCTATGAAGAAAGGTTAACAAATGTAAACCTATTTAGTTTAGAAAAACGTCGCCTGAGAGGGGATATGATAACATTATACAAATATATTCGGGGCCAATACAAACCATTGTGTGGAAATCTATTCACAAACCGGACTTTACATAGGACACGAGGCCATGCGTTTAGACTGGAAGAAAGAAGATTTCGTCTAAGGCAAAGGAAAGGTTTTTTTACTGTAAGAACAATCAGGATGTGGAATTCTCTGCCTGAGGAAGTGGTTTTATCAGAGTCCATACAGATGTTCAAACGGCTACTAGATGCATACTTGCAAGAACAGAATATTCAAGGATATAATCTTTCAATGTAGGGTAATAACTGCTTGATCCAAGGATACATCTGACTGCCATTCTGGAGTCAAGAAGGAATTTTTTTCCTAGCTTGTTGCAAAATTGTGCTTCAAACTGGGTTTTTTTTTGCCTTCTTTTGGATCAACAGCAAAAGACAAATGTGAGGTAGGCTGAACTTGATGGACGCAAGTCTCTTTTCAGCTATGTAACTATGTAACTATGTAACTATGTAACCCCATACACACACAGATAGATCCCATACAAACACAGACGCCCCCACACAGACTGACCTATAAACACACACAGACTGCCCTCCCACACAGACTGACCCATACACGCACAGACTGACCCACACACACAGACTGACCAATACACACACACAGACGGTTCCCCCACACACAGACTGACCCATACACACACACACACACATATTGACCCCATACATACACAGACTGACCCCCCACACACAGACTGACCAATACACACACACAGACTGACCCCCACACACAGAATAGCCAATACACACACACAAACTGACCAATACACACACGGACTGCCCCCCAAAACACAAACTGACCCAAACACACACACATATTGACCCCATACACACACAGACTGACCCCCACACACAGAAAAGCCAATACACACACACAAACTGACCAATACACACATGGACTGCCCCCCAAAACACAAACTGACCCATACACACACACATATTGACCCCATACACACACAGACTGACCCCATACACACAGACTGACACAGATGCCCCCCACAGACTGACCCATACCCACACACAGACTGTCCCCCACACACAGACTGACACATACATGCACAGACTGACCCCCCACACGCATGGACCTACCAATACACACACACAGACTGTTCCCCCACAAACAGACTGACCCATACACACACAGATGCCCCCCCACACAGACTGAGCCATGCACATATACAGACTGACCCCACACACACACACGGAGTGACCCATACACACAAAGACTGACCAATACACACACACAGACTGATCCATACACACAGACTAAACACCTACACAGACTGACCCATTCACACACAGAGACTGACCCCTTTCACACACTCAGACTGACCCATACACACACAGACTGAACCCCCACACAGACTGCCCCCACATACAGACTGACCCTATACACACACAGACTCACCAATACGCACACAGACTGCCCCCCAAAACACAAACTGACCCGTACACACACACATATTGACCCCATACACACACAGACTGCCCCCCCACACACACAGACTGATCCCCACACACAGACGGATCCCCACACACACAGACTGATCCATACACACACAGACTGACCCCTCCACACACAGACTGACCCCGCACCCCTTGCACCACACACACGGAAACTGAATCATACACACTGACTCACACTTACCAGTAGCTGCCTGGATGCCTCATTCCCCCAGGCAGAGCTGGGATTCCTCTCCTTGTCTCTCCCCTGCGCTCTTCTCTATGATCCAGCAGGAAGATCCTCCCACCAACCTATGTGCACTGCTGTTGTGAAGGGAGACTCAGTGTTCCAGTCTTCAATTTCAATTGGCCGGGGGCACACAGTGGTGTATTTGGGATTTGTGCTGCCCTAGGCAGGCTCAGGCAACCCCCCCAATTTAAATTTTTCCCACCCCTTCCTGTCAAGGCCGCATTTTGACTGACAGATGCACACTCACTGACAGACGCACACTCACTGACATACACACACACTCACTGATTTGACACACTGATAGACACACACTATTACTCGGACACACACTGACAGACTCACACTCACTGACAGACTCACTGACAGACGCACACGCTCACTGACAGAAGCACGCACTGACAGACGCACAAACTCACTGACCGACACATACACACTCACTGACCGGTACATACACACTCACTGACCGACACATACACACATACACTCACAAACACACACACACACATTCACTTAGACACACACACACATTCACTTAGAAACACACACTTACAGACACACACACACACACATTTACTTAGACACACACACTTACAGACACACACACACATTTACTTGGACACACACATACAGACACACACACTTACAGACACACACACACATGCACACGCTCATTCACTCACAGACACACACACATTCACTCACAGATACACACACTCACAGACACAAACACACACACACATTCACTCACAGACACACACACACATTTCCACCAACACTCACAAATTATTATTTTTTTATTTTTATTTAAATCCACCCAGCCTCCCTGGGAGAGCTAGAGTGGATTGCTTACCTGCGATCCAGTGGAGCTGCTGCGCGGGCAGGCAGTGGGTGGACAGGCTGAGTAGGTGGACAGAGAGCTCTGATTTTCCTGCTCAGCTCCCTCGCGCTCTGCTTAGTGATGCCGGGAGCCGGTCTGACATAGTATGGCTCCTGGCTTCATTAAGCAGAGCACGCTCCCTCGCTGCCCGCCGCCCCACCTCCGGGGGCAAAAGATCATATTTAGATAATATACGTCAGAAATCAATAATTGTTTAGCAGAGCATCCAAGTCACTATCTATACCTTTTGCCGTGTGTTCTTTGGCTGGGTTTCTAAACCCAAATTAACCTTTTCTTAGCAGTGTAACCATGAATTGATCGGTAAGATTTATAGAAACACACACAGACAGGTGGAATACAAGACTCAATAGAAACGTTTATTGATGGCATGTGGTCGGTTTGCGTTTTGGATTCCAAGAGCTGAAAGGCTAAAGCCAGATTGCTGTGTGAAAGCATGAAATCTAATAGTCCAACCTGTAAAAATATCACAAGAAAAGAGGGAGAGAAAAAAGATCAGTTAAAACAGCGTGAAAAAATAACTTAATAAAATAGTGTGTAACATCATCTTATTTTGGTAAAACATTGAATTAACTACCATGTTCTATTTGAAACATGCAGAAAGAAATGTACTTCTCGAGAAATTAAATTAAATCCATATCTAAAAACTGAGGCAAATATAGCTGATCTGGAAAATAATAATAATAATAAAAAAGTATTTAACCAAAATGTAGTCAATTTAGCCATACTCACAGTGTAGCCATTTTTAAATCAATTTTGCTCTTTAGATTTATTTATTTTTTTAATTCTTCTTTTTTGCTCATCTCATTAGTGAGAGAGAAATGTCATGCATTATACTATAAGCACAGGTATACAAAGATAAAACATGATATATAAACAAATATATAATCATTTTCAATGTACCTCTAAAACCAGTGAGATAAGGTTTTTATTTTTGTAATTCTTTATGTTTGTCACTCACCATGAGGAGATTTAACAAGCATGCGATATAACATTAGACATTCCGGTTATGATATCAAACAAAGTCATTGTCAGAAGGGCAATATCATGGTGACTGAATTTTTTGAATTATAAAATGAAAAGTAATAACAGAATACATACAAAACGAGTGAATCCCCATGAGGTCATGAGAGGAGTGCAAGAGTTAACCCTCAGTGTGAGTACCATAGCCCAATGGGGAGGACCCCTGTCCAAAGTTGTAGACAAGTGCAATTCGTTTCGTTCCGAATGCAAATTCGGACTAATTTCGGATATTCGGATGCTTCCGAATGTCCGAAGTGCCGAATTTCCGAAGTGCTGAATTTTGGAATGCCGGGCTGAACCGAATTTTTTTCTCATGCACATCCCTACAAAGTTGTAATGTTTCTATGGAAGCATGTAGATAATGGCAGGTGATAGGGGAGGGCGGTTATGGCGGTGTTGCCCCTGGATTAGAGCTGACTAGGATCGACCCTGAGGCCTGCGTAGAAGTAGGGTCTGGAAGTCATATGAGCTGCCTATTGCCTCTGCTGTCCCCACTGAGTCGGGTATGCCTCTAACCTTCAGATTGTATCGTCTGCGATGGTCTTCCATGGCGTCAGTTCTACCTGAGGTGGTGGTTTGCTGGCGCTCTAAGTCGGCTACTTGTTGCTCTACAACTGTCAACGGAGAGTCTTGGGTGCTGGAGGTGGCCTCAAGCTTAGTTATTTTGGAAGTGGCAGTTTCGATGGCATTTTTGTATTAGGCCATGTCGGTCGCAATATTCTTGTATAACTCTGCCAGCATCTGTTGGAGCAGATTCACTGTAACCGGTTCTCCAGGTTTTGGTGGTGACCTGGCAGGTTCTGGTGGTATGCCCGCCATATCCCATGCTCCAAGGTCAAAGGTGAAATCTTCAGAGGAGTCCCATGCGGCCTTGTGTGTGTTCCGCAGCAGCTCTACGATATCCCGGTTCGTAGGTACTCTGTCTGCCTTTGTTTTTTTAGATTTCTTGCCCATAGCGGTCTCTAGTGCCACTGCTAGTATTTGTGCTCGGTTTTGGGTCTCGTTTCCACTTTTACAGGTCCAATATCTATGACTGAGATACAGAGCTCAGAGAAGTGCGACCGCTCCGTTCTCCAGCTAGCTCAGCCCCCTGAGGTAAGGTTTTTTTATAGATATATAAAAGCCTAAGCAGGTATTAAGTGGGCAAAACTATATTTGGCATAAGTAGGGATTGGTATTGTATGCCTACCCTATAAATACTTCCTCCAAGTATTCCTGTATTGGTGAGCCAACGTATTTAGGCCAATACTGATAGGTGAAAATAAATCAAAATAACTAACACTATTGTGGTGTGCACTTCACTTATACATTTGGCTCTCATCCAATAAAGTACGATATGTAGGCTATGTAGTTATCCGTTAGAGCGTAAGATAATAGGCAGAAATCAACAATTAGTTTTTCGCATAGCCAGCTTAAAGGAGCACTATAGGGTCAAGAACACAAACATCTATTCCTGACCCAATAGTATTAAAAACACCATCTTGCCTCCCAGCAACCCTAAATATAGCAAAATCGTACCTTTATTGATGTCTGCTGCTGCTGGCTCTGCCCGTGATCTGCCTGCTTGACTGACATCATCAGAAGTTGTGCTCTGAGCCAATCACAATGCTTTCCCATAAGATTGGCTGAGACCTTCAAGGAGGCATATCAGGGGCAGAGCCAGCACAATTCAAGCACAGACCTGGCCAATCAGCATCTCCTCATAGAGATTAATTGAATCAATGCATCTCTATGAGGAAAGTTCAGTGTCTGAAAAGCAGTCAGACACTGAATAGCAGTCATAATGTGCAGCACTGCCTCAGGATGCACCTCTAGTAGCCATCAGAGGAGTGGCCAGTGGAGATATCATTAGGCTGTAATGTAAACACTGCATTTTCTCTGAAAACAGTGTTTACAGCAAAAAGCCAGAAAAAATACAATAAGCTATAGTTGTTCTGGTGACTATAGTGTCCCTTTATCCCTTTACTCTACTATCTAACATGAATATAGAGGCAAGGGGAGAGATAGTGGTATGGATCTGTGTGACCCTCAACGGAAAGCATTAGACTTTGTATAAGTCAGTTACACAAGGAAACAAAATTTAAAGCTTTTGAAAGAAAAAGAAAATAAACTAGTCAAACAAATATCGAACATAGCTAACGCAAAGCATGGCTGACACTAATCTGGTGCCAGGAACGTTATGGAGAGCCTCAGGTTGTTGCCTGCGGCATTGCTTTTCAGATTAAAGTCACAAACATTCAGAGTTTAGTGAATAACCCTGTAAGTAATGTGTGCCGTTTCTCAGTGCTGGGTAATGGCTATTACAGATTCCTCATATGCTATAGATAGAAAGATAGATACATTTCAACTCTAGAAACATCACCTCCATTGCTTTTTTCTATGGTGACCTCTGACCTTACTTGCTTCTAGGAATGTCTTGTGATCAAAGCGTTCGTGCACATAAATTTCATAAAGCCATATTGCTTTTTTATATTGCAGGGCACTTAACACACTGTAAGACACAAGTGAAGTATCCGACTGTCTATTAACTGGTAACGAGGTTCAACCTCTGTACTGCTTGAACATTGATTGTGCTAATTAACTTCCCTTCATGTCTTCCTATCCGCCTAGTATCATCCAAAGTCCTGTGTATTAATGCCTTTGTCTGTATCCAATTATAATGCATACCTATAAGTGAATACCTTTGTTTACAGTGCGTCTCCTGCCTTACTCTTGCACCATTAGAGAGACCATCTTTAAATCCTCTTTGGTTGGAGGGAGCGCTTATCCGATCAATGACCATGTGCAGTTGAGCGGCTGAAGCGAGCTCCAGTTTTGAGATTTCAGGTGCTTGCGCATGCCATTAAGATTGTGAATGCACATTCGCATAGCTCCCAACAATGGAAGGTATGGAATCAGGATGGGTGGTTTTCAGGACCATGCAAGGGCTTTAGTGGTTGGATGTGTGCAGCAATTAAAACTAAATATCAAGAACTGATGCCTAGAGTGGTGGGAATAGATTTGTGTTCCGACTGGTTCCAATTGGGCAATGGCACCCACCAAAGATGCCCGCTGTCACCAATACTTTATATACTTTCGATGGAGCCTCTAACAATAAGAATAAGAGAAAATCTAGGTATTAAGGGGATCCCAGCAGACGCCAAGGAATTGAAACTAGACTTAAGATAAGGCCAGGGACTAATAAAAGTATTTTGAAATATTGGGCAGACTAGATGGGCCGAACGGTTCTTATCTGCCGTCACATTCTATGTTTCTATGTTTTGCCTAGTTTGTGCAAACAATCCTACAGAACATCGCTCTCCTGGCTTGTGGTGGAAGGAAGCAGGCATTAATACCAGATGACTGGTGTTCGCGGAGTCGAGTGAACTTAGAGTTCCAGACACTCGACGACCAAGTACCGCTGCCTGCTTTTGGGAGACAAGATGGCCGCCATTTTCCAATGCACATGTTGTTCGGGTATACAAACGGCGGCCACACAGAGACAGCACTTAAGTTTGTGGTTTTCTTTGAAGATAAAATAGCCAAGAGGGTGATCTGTGTTTGGTAGTTAAACCTACAGAATGCAGGAAAAATAACTGGGACAAAGAAATACAGAGTTTTGTCACACTAACCAAAAGAAAGTCAGGAGATGCATTACATCAGTCTCTAAGAGTGAATGGCAAGATTCTAATGATGAACGGGCAGATTCTCAGGATGATGAGAAGATGTTTAGGATGAAAGGGCATGTTTCTAGGTGTAATGATCAGAATATCAAGACGAAATTGCTGTTAGTAGCTATGTTATGGTTGAAATATCTGTTGGAATTTTCATGAAATAGTTAACTATTTGATATTTCCTTGCAAAGTAGGATCTCCATGAAGATTGGTGTGATATGAACATGTGTTATTTTATCAATATGTATACATTAACTAATATATCATCCATACTAAACGACTAGTCCTAAAACCACATATTTAGAATAGTTACCAATAAGTTGCATGGGTTCTTTGTGATGGGTCCTAACAGGTTGTCATCGTATCCAGACAATTTGACAATTTAGTTGTTTCTCTGCATTGAAACTGCTTTGACAAGCTGTAACTATGTGGCTTTGAGAAATTGCTCCATTATAACTTTTCTGAGAATGAAAGAACATACTCCTAACCCTTTCTCTAAGCGCATTCTTTTTTATATTCCCATTAACCGACAAGTGCCTGGGGTCAAAGTTAAAGTGCCCTCAATTTAACGCGTAGGTTGTTTGAGAATGGAAATAGCTAAGACAATGCGCCATTTATATCGTTTCACTTGAATCTCAATCTCTAATGCTTTCCGATTGCAGCCTGTTTCGATGCCTCGTAGAATGCTGAACGGTCAATTTCAAGGAGAACAGTCATTTATCACTTCCCATTGTTCTGCGAGTTGAGTGACCAAGAATGGGAATATCGGAAATCACAGTGTTAGATAAAAACAAGGTGTATACAAGATTTATTCACTCAACAATGAATTGTGTTTAGTTGGCCACTTGTTATTGTAAATTCCAGCCAGGTGAAAAAAATTCTAAAACTCAGCTATTTTTACAAGTTTGCTTTTATGGTCTTCATTTTTAAAACTGGGGGTAAACTTGTTGCCAAACACTAGTGGGCATATCTCTGCCCGTAGGTATTTGTACGAATTTAGGTGTTATTAAAATCTGAACTTGTGTAATGATATTTAGGATTTTTGCAACCTTAAATACTTCACTGAGGTACTAAGTTATTTATGCACTAATATATATTTTTGTATTTGTATTAATGTTTTCAGTGTTGGGTAAGTACTTCTTTATATCAGTCATACTTTTTATGTAATCATATATATATATATATATATTTTTTTTTATTCTTTATTTTTTTAGTGCAGATAAGATCATACAGCTTGTCATGCCCCGATAGCAATGGATAAGAGAGTCAGGATATATTTAATTCTACTTTTTGAAGCGCCTAGCACCGAACCGTTTATATTATTTAAACATCCCATAATCCACTCCACACACCATAATCACTACAGCTAATTGCACCACTGGGCTTTACACAGAGAGCTTGTGGTTAGCTTGGAGCCTGCAGTGGAGGCACGTTGCTGCATTCTAATGTGACTTACAATCATAAACAGCCAGTAAAGCAAACATATATATATATCAAGGTTGAATAGTACAGTTAACTTGCTAAAAATGTCCTTGAATATAGTGGTGGCTACCCCTTCAAGGCTCCTCCTTTAAAACCTTCTTTAAGATCGAGCATACATATAAACAAAAAATAAACTGGGTTTCAGCTATTCCTAGATAGATAAAAATGCAATAACAGTGTAAAATTGTTACAGAGAAGATCGCTATTTGGATAATTGTTATCGAAATAGTGATCCTCACTGTTACAATATCACACTGCTATTGCATTTGTAATAGCTAAAACCCCATTTGTTTTTTGTTTATTTGTCTTCTCATATGGTTTGCCTGCTTGGTGTGGGGGCACCAAGGCACTCCAAGCACCATCAACACTACAGCATCCCTATATTTTTATATTGGCTAAAATATTTTTCATATTTTTTTCATGCAGTTCTTAGTTTTCACAATTTTATTGTTAGAATAATGTCCCCATTGACGTACTGTGCCTTCCTCCGTTCTCGACTTCTGTGTGATTAGTCTCCTATTATGCACGGTTAGCCATTAAAAGAGTTTTTAGGAATTGACAAGGAATTTAAATCTTCAAGTCAAATTAGCTTTAATGTTATAAAGGTTATCCAGCTGAGCTTTATTTCAGATCTCCTATTCCAGTCTAAAATTGAAAATCCCTTTGTCACGAAGCTCATAGTTTTATTCTGATTGACAGTTTTATACTGTAAGAAAAATAACAGAACTAACAAATACACAAGTATTTCAAAGTGAAGGAGAAAAAGGGTGGAACCATGAAAGGAAAGTAGAGAACTTCAAAGTTCAGAATTACTTTACTGAATACATTCATTAATCCCAAAGAAATGATAGCACAAGGAAAAAAAGAAAACCAATCTTCAAATCTACACAACACAAATTCTTAGCTGATATACGCTGATCAGCCACAACATTAAAACCACCTGCCTATTATCGTGTAGGTCCTCCTCATGCTGCCAAAACATCTCTAATGCGTCATGGCAAGTACTCCACAAGACCTGTGAGTGTATCAGGCACCAAGACATTAGCAGAAGATCCTTTAAGTCCTGCAAGCTGCGAGATGGGGCCTCCATAGATGGGATTTGTTGTCCCAGCACATCCCATAGATGCTCAATGTGGAGGCCAAGACAACACCGTGAACTCTTTGTCATATTCCTCAAACCGTTCCTGAACAATTTTTGCAGTGTGGCAGGTTGCATTATACGGCTGAAAGAGACCACTGCCATCAGGAAACAACATTGCCATGAAGGCAATGTGCCTGGAGGAGTTATCTCCTCAGTTTATGGAGAGGGCAAATATATAATTCTATATATATTTTTTTAAATTGTACTCATAGAGGCAGCCTGATATAAAAAGAAAGACCACCAGTATAGCGCACTAAAAGTCTACTGCTGAGGAAGTGTGCTGGGGAACAGAACTTTGCTGTGCGCCCCTTTTTTCCAGTTTCTTTAAGATCCTGTAGGGAGTATAAACAGCATGCTGCTCATGGATAGAGAGGAGAGGACATGAAATAGAAACTCATGACATATCACAACGTCTCTGTCAGTGTAGAGGTTTTCGAGGTTTGCTCTTGGCTCAATCCCCAGATTTTTCTGGAATATATATATATATATATATTTAAATTCTACGTGCATAATTATGTAATATTTTTACATAATTAAGTAATTTTATTGATTGCAATTTGGGGAACCTGTCTTACAACCAAGGCCGAAAGTCCAGTATTTAACCCTGTAACTTTCCATGACACCCTAAAACCTCTACATGGGGGGCACTGTTTTACTCGGGAGACTTCGCTGAACACAAATATTAGTGTTTCAAAATAGTGATGTCCCGAACGGTTCGCCAGATGGTTTGCGAACGGTTCGCCACGGTTCGGCACGAAGGGTTCGCCGCGGACTCCAGTCAGCAGACACATTCCAGCCAATCAGCAGCAGACCCTCCCTCCCAGACCCTCCCACCTCCTGGACAGCATCCATTTGAAGCTGCATTCTTAGTGAGCTGTCCAGAAGGTGGGAGGTTCTGGGAGGGAGGGTCTGCTGCTGATTGGCTGGAATGTGTCTGCTGACTGGAGTCCGCGGCGAACCGTTCACGGCAAACCGCGGCAAACCGTTCGGGACATCACTATTTCAAAACAGTAAACATATCACAGCGATGACATTGTCAGTGAAAGTAAATTTTTTTGCATTTTTCACACACAAACGGCACTTTCATTGATTATATCATTGTTGTGATACGTTTTACTATTGAAACACTAATATTTGTGTTCAGCAAAGTCTCCCAAGTATAACAGCACCACCCATGTACAGGTTTTATAGTGTTTTTTAAAGTTACAAGGTCAAATATAAGGCTTAATTTTTATTTTTTTCACACTAAAATTTGCCAGATTGGTTATGTTGCCTTTGAGAGCGTATGGTAGCCCAGGAATGAGAATTACCCCCATCATGGCATACCGTGTGCAAAAGAAGACAACCCAAGGTATTGCAAATGGGGTATGTTCAGTCTTTTTTAGTTGCAACCTAGTCACAAACACTGGCCAAAGTTAGCTATTGTAATTGGTTTTGCATTTTTAACGCACAAACAAATATAAACGCTAACGTTGGCCAGTGTTTGTGACTAAGTGGCTACTGAAAAAGACTTAAAGAACCACATATTGAATATGCTGGGTTGTCTACTTTAAAAAATATGTACATGTGAGGTGTGATTCAGAGATTTATGACAGATAACAGTGTTACAATGTCACTATTGATACATTTTAAATATATATATTTTGAAACAGCAATGTCTTACTTGTACTTATAGCCCTATAACTTGCAAAAAAAAAAAGCTAAGAACATTTTCTATTTCTAAACTCAGGACAAACTTTAGAAATTATTAAGCACGGGTGTTTTTTGGCAATTGTAGATGTGGAACAGATTTTGGGGATCAATGTTACAAAAAGTGTGTTTATTTTATTTCTTCATCCTATTTTATAATTTTTTTAATAGTAAATTATATGATATGATGAAAATAATGGTATCTTTAAAAAGACAACTTAAGGGCGAGAAAAACAGTATATAATATGTGTGGGTACAGTGAATGAGTAAGAGGAACAGCCCTGGTCCTTAATGATAAGAAAATTTCAAAACGGTCTGGTCACTAAGAGGTTAAGCAGTGGCTGAATAACAGGAAACAGAGGGTTGTAGTCAATGGAGTATATTCTAAGCAAGGTCTTGTTACCAGTGGGGTACCTCAGGGTTCTGTACTTGTACCCATTCTCTTCAATAATTTTTATTAGTGAAATTATAATTGGTCTTGATGTCTTTTTGCAACAGGGTTGATGTTCCAGGATGGGTAAGCCTAATGGCAAATGATTTAGGTAAACTAGAAAAATGGTCAGAGTTGTGGCAACTGACATTTAATGTGGATAAGTGCAAGATAATGCATCTTGGACGTAAAAACCCAAGGGCAGAGTACAGAATATTTGATTCAATCCTAACCTCAACATCTGAAAGGAAAAGGATCTTAACATGTATAGCTTGGCGGAAAGACGAGACGGGGGATATGATAGAAACATTTAAATACATAGTCTGAAATTAGAGGGGCAAAGGTTTAAAAATAATATCAGGAAGTATTACTTTAGTGAAAGGGTAGTGGATGCATGGAATAGTAAGGGAGATTAAGCATGTGTGTGATAGTGTCACGGATAGATAGAAAAATTCAACACTCACAGACCCCAATCTGCCTAAGGGATAGCATAAGATATTACAGGGCCATAGCATGGCCAGATTTAACGTAAAGAGTAGTCAGAGAGAGAGCCGGGGTCAAACATAGGGGAAAACAGCATAAATGAGAAAACAAGCCAAGGTCAGGAAGACAGAAATCGGAGAGACGATTAAACAAGCCAAAGTCAGTAACAAGAAATCCAAACTACTTTAAAGCTCACTCTTGGGTAATCAAAAACCACAACAGGGCAACTTGCTACTGAAAGTCCTGGCTTTATATAGCTAGGGAACTAACACTATTGGTCGGCATCATTTTGAAGTGCCTAAAGACCTGAGTTTGGCCAAACACCAAACTCGGGTGTTTCTACTCGTTCGTACTGATCGATTCGCACTTAGAGTCACGCCGTTATGACGTCAGCGCGATTTCATACAATAGACCCGCATGCATAGCATACAGCGTCAGACCCACTGCTGGAACGGGGAGTTCCGGAATGGGTAAGCATGACAGATAGGCATAAGGCTATCCTAGATATAAGATAAGGCCAGGGACTAATGAAAGTATTTAGGAAATTGGGCAGACTAGATGGGCTGAATGGTTCTTATCTGCCGTCGAATTCTATATTTCTTTCCAACAAACATACAACCCCACAACCAACCTCCAGACACACACCATCTCCAAGCCGTGTCCAACATATCTTCCAACCACCCACCTAGTCACATTCACCATTCAATTATACCCCAAACTAGTCGTATAAATGTATCCAGTTGAATATATTGAACGTTGGTGCATTGAGAATACTGGCCGTAGGGTAGCAAGGAGGATAAATCCGGTTTTACACCTCTGGGCCTCTATTTCAGGAACTGGGTTTTAACCTTCAAGTATATTAAGACTTTAGGGGCACTTCATTAGTGTAACTGTGTCTTTAATAAGTTCTGTCTATGGAAGGTTCCTGGAACTGAGGAATGTTACATTGATGTGCTGCATGCTGCATAATGAGATGCCATAGCCAGCTACTGCACACTGAGGAAGATCACGTGTTTCTGTCCACATAGCCAGCATGAAAAAAAAAAAACAGATGTAACTTATTTAAAACGTTTTTGACTCTAGTTCTTTAAATTTAACTTTAATCACACACATGAGGCTCCTGCACGGTCTACTAAGCTATTAGCAGAACAGGAGATAAGAAATTATAAATTAAACATAATTCACAAAAAAGGAAGTATAAACATTAGAAGACTCTTTACAGGAAGTGTTTAGAAAGGATGTGCAAGTCACATGCATGGAGGTGTAACTAAGTGCATAAACAAAGTGATTTAACTCCTAAATTGAAGATAATTGAGTAGTGAGACAGCAGGGGCATGATCTACACATCAAAACGGCTTCATTAAGCAAAAATTATTTCGGAGACTATAGTGTCCTTTTAAAACCATTATTATTTTGTTTTCATTTTCCCTTGAGACTGCTACTATATGTCTTTTGGCTTTTAGAATTTTTTTTATGATTTTATTTCTCTCTGCTATTCTGTGCTTGATATTGCCAATGTAAATCATACCTTATCTTATGATATTGTGTAATTGTGTTTGACTATGAATTAATTCTGTCTTTATGATAAACTCAAAAGTGACAGTAAAAACGGGTTTCTCATGGAAAATATATTTTGCAAGAAAATGTAAAAATTTTATATTTTTCTCATTTAGGAAATAATGCTGTAAAGACCCAGCATGTACTTATTCCAGATTTTTAATGGTAGAATAGGTATGCTACTTTACTAAAAGTGATCATCTACACACAACTTTAGCTTAATGAAGCAGTTTTGGTATTGCCCCTGCAGTCTCACTGCTCAGTTCGCTGCCATTTAGGAATTACATAAGTTTTGTTTCTGTTTATGCAGCTCTAGCCACACCTCTCCTGGCTGTGACTGACACAGCCTGCATGAAAAACAGTTTTCATTTACAATCAGATGTCACAGCACAGTGTGTTTACTATAGAAGTTTTTATTTCCTGCTATGTTAATTGAACTTTAATTACAAACAGGAGGCTCCTGCAGGCTTAAGTAAGCTATTAACAGAGCAGGAGATAATACATTCTAAGTTAAACAGACTGTGCAATAAGGCAAGTATAAATATTAGATCTTTCTTCACATGCCAGTAAGTTGTGTCTAGGGCTACATAAACAAAGTGATTTATCTCCCAAATTACAGAGGACTGAGCAGCTAGACTGCAGGGCACGATCTCTTCACCAAAACTACTTTAATTATCTGAAGTTGTTTTGGTGTTTATTGTATCCCTTTAAGTAGAGTGCAAAACTACAAAAATTATGTATACAGGTTTACTTCCACTTGTTTTGCAAAATGAAATTTAAAATCTCACATACTTATATTCACACTAATGGAATGATTACCGGCTTATCAAGGGATGACTTTCTCAAAATTCTTATTATTCTGTTTACTTATCCCTATGTTCAAAACATATGTATTTGTTAGATCTGAAAAGATAAAATTAACTGGTTTAAAGTGAGAGTTGCCCATTGGAATTTTAAGTGAATTAAAAGTAAATTTCAACTCTAAGGTCACGATAGCCAGACAGAAAACGGGATTGATGTGAACTTTTTTCTTTTAATTTCGCTGTTGTGGACTAATTTTTTTTAAATTCATTTTGACCTAACTTTGAATTCCAGTCAATCTTCACTTTAGTGTATAACCCTGTAAATATAAAATCCACAAGCTTTTTCCTGAACCTGGGCGCCTCCATCTTGGCTCCCTGTCAATCATAGTTATAAGCTCTGCCCTTTACACCTGGCTGTCACCATAGAGAAAGCACACAGAGAAAGGGAGACATGATACAATGTTTCTATTTATCCTCTTTGTTTGTAATGTGTGCCCTGGTTATGCCTTGTCTAAACTGGATTATGATGTATTTGCTAAATCTTCAACACAAATTTAATAGAAAATGGAACATTTTATACAAAAATAATTTGATGGTTTTTAACATTTTATTTAATTTATAAATTCCATAGAAATGACCGTTCCCCTTTAACATCTGTAAAACTGAAAATGAAACTTCAAAGACCGTATCATTTCTATTGTCAGGGAGAGGGGAGAGATAAATGCTGCCTCTCGTTTGCCTCTAAAGCCTATTGACATTACAATATTTCTATAAAACTTTTTAAAATTCCTTTATTTTAGAAATAAATACATTATTGATGTTATGTGTGCAATCTTTTTGCATTCTGTTGTCATTTTCAGTAGCCTTCTGTGAGCTGTACAGCTAGTAATGTGATCAAGGTCCCTATAAATGCCAATAAGCAAGGTATTTGGCCAATTTTATTTATCTATTTTCATCATACAACTGTATATAATAAAAACTGTATTTTTGCTTTGAAACTTATATTTGAAATGAAAAATATAGCAATAGTATCTTTTACACTAGCTGAAGCTTTTCATTTCTTCTGTATATCTATTAAGAATGAATAAATGAGGGGGCGTGGCCTGACCGCGATGCAGAGCGGACGCTCGTGAGCTGAGCTCCCGCTAGACCGAGGCCCTAAAGCAGACAAAAGCAAAACACCCGAGCACCACCTACCCCGGGACCACACCGGCGGCTGCGGCATGGATAAAAGGACCCGGCGGAAACCTCATAAGCGGCCGTCGGAGCCGGGCGCTACAGTGGCAGACCTCTTCACAGCTTCCCGCGCAAATCAGCCTGCAAGGCAAGATGGCGGCCACCTCAGTCCCAGGACCTCCCCAGCACGCGAGCACCCGGAGCCCCCCAGGGGACAAGTTATACCAGCTGAGGAGACCTCTCAGATCCTGGCACAGCTGCTGGAAGTAAAGGCTTACCTGGCAGGGGAGATCAGCAGGTCCACGGCAGAGGTGAAAGCCGAGATCGCGGCGCTTGGACACCGCACGGCAGCCCTGGAACACAGGCAAGAGGCAACAGTCCTGGCACACAATGAGGTAACAGGCAGGGTGAATAACCTCACAGCCAGGTTAATAGCAGGAGAGGCGGCCTTAGAAGATTTGGCAAATCGTTCCCGCCGAAACAACATCAGGCTGCGAGGCCTGCCAGAACAAGAGGGGGAGGGGGACCTGACAGACACAGTCATGGCGATCCTAAAACCCCTAGCACCAAATATTCCAGCCCAACTGTGGCATCTGGACCGGATTCACAGGGCCCTGGGAACCAGGAAGTTAGATGCCAAACAGCCGAGAGATATAATTATGCGCTTCCAGCATTTCCAAACAAAAGAAACTATAATGAAGAATAGCAGAGACGGCCCTATCAAGTATAAAGGCAGCACTCTGCTACTGTTCCAGGACCTAGCCCCAACGACACTCCAGAGACGCAGAGAATGGCGACCGATCACCGACATCCTCAGGACCCACAACATAAAATATGCATGGGGCCATCCCTTTAAGCTTATGGCGTTCAAGAATGGCAGACCAAAGATCCTGCCACCTGATGGGGACGCAGCGGCTTTTCTCCAGGCGCTGGACCTCCAGGCGCCGCCAGACTTGCAATGGCGCGCGGCGACTCCGACAGACCTGCAACTGCTACCGAGAGAATGGCATACAGCGGGGGAACGAAGACACACACCGTAGAACGGATGCACACCAGGCACCCGCACCCGGACCGCCTCGCCCAGATGGACATCCCCAGGAGGGTGAGATGACAAGGGACATGAGGGGGGGGTGAGGACTTGCCCCCACCCCCAAGGTTTTTGGTACCACAAACGCTCACAACCAAAGCCCACTACGGGGGGTTTCTACCTACTTGGACGCATACAAAAAAAAAAAGGCAAATTATACACATACCTGCGGGGAGTTCCATTCAGTACCCACAGATGCTGGGGAGGGACCAACAGAGGACAAGGGGAGGGATATACTCACTTTTAAACAAGACTACACAAAAAAAAGGGCAAATTATACACATACCTGCGGGGAGTTCCATTCAGTACCCACAGATGCTGGGGGGGGGGAGGGAACAACAGAGGGACAGGGGGAGGGGGATATAACTCACTTTTAAACAAAACTAAACAAAAAAAAAAAAAAAAGATTTTTCTTCCAGCACACATTGGGAAGGGGGAGGATGGACTCCTTTACAAAGAGGACAGGTGGCCGCTTGTGGGGTGGTGGGGGTGGGGGTGCTGCGGGAGGGGGGAGGGGGACGGGAGACCAGATTATTCGGCTGTAAGTTTGACATTAGCGACTCTAGCCCCTGCTGGCTCAGCCTTTTTTGCCGGTGCCCAGGGACGGGCGCCGATGATACATGACATCCGAACGGTCGCCAACACCGGACTGGGCCACTCCTTAAAAATATACTATACGGACCATCCAGAACAGACACAGACTGATCGTGATATGCCCCCCGCCCCTTATGGACAAGATTCCAGCAACTTAGCGACCCCTAAGCGGAATGGGACTTCCCCCAACCCCCTGGGCGACGTAGGGACCGACGAGCGGGAAGGCCTGGAGGCGGGGATCACCCCGCAGACATTAACGGGCCTCAGGTCAAATTCATTCAGGTTCGGGACCATGCATCCGCGAGCTGACCCCACTGCAGGAGGGCCAGAGGCGCTGATGCAGATGCCCCGCACAAGTCTGGCAAGGGATAAGACCAGACGGTTTATCAGTTCAACCGTTTATTGTATATATGTTTATGTTTATGATATGGTTAATAACCTCTCTTTTTCCTTCCTACCTTCCCCTCTCCCCCCTCGTGGCGGCCGGAGCGACTCGAAAGCGGTACCTGAAACACCAGAGGGACAGGGTCCCCCAAAGGACGAACCCCAAGGCCCAACAGAGGAAGTCATCAGTAAGGTAGCCCACGCGCTTACACTTACGACACCACCGTGTCTACACACATACACTCTCTAAATGTTAAGGGACTAAACGCCCCAAAAAAGCGTAGACTATTATATAGAGAACTTAAGAGACTAGGCCCAGATGTGGCCTTTTTACAAGAAACCCACCTGCCCAAAACCCTGGGCATAACTCTCAAGGACCACATTTATAGCACAGGATATGAGGCTAGGTCGCACTCCAAACGCAACGGAGTAGCGATACTAATACATAAACGATGCCCACTGCGAGTCACGGGGGTCCACACAGACACGGACGGCAGATACCTTATCCTGACAGGGACGCTATTTGCTCACACGATCAATCTCATAAATATTTATGCCCCCACAGACCCTTCTAGGGATTTCTGGGACAAATTGGCCGACAAATTACACACCCTGCCTCATGGTATGCTTATCATGGGGGGCGATTTTAACGCCGCCCCATGCCCAGCTATAGACAGAGGCAGCATAAGAGGTTTCCCGCGCTCACACGGCAGAGGAAGGTCAGACAAACTGATCCACGACTTCCTCTGCTCCACAGGTCTGATAGATGTGTGGAGGGCCCACCACCCGGGAGAAGCGGACTATACGTTCTACTCTGCGCCACATGACTCGTACTCCCGTATCGACTACTTTTTAGTAAATGACCATGCCATTCCAAAGATCACGAAGTCCACAATAGAATCTATCACATGGTCAGACCATTCAGACATTAGCTTAGAATTGGGAAACCTCTGCACCGCGACTCCATGGAATTGGAAGCTCAATGCGTCCCTATTACAGGACCCTACTATTCGAGAGACTATTCGCACAGAGATAGTAGAATATTTCCAACTCAACTCCTCTCCAGAGTTAACTCCCGCCACGGTATGGGCTGCTCACAAAGCGGTTATCAGAGGCACACTAATAAGGGAAGCCACCAAGAAAAAGAAACTGAAAACACAACAATTAAAGTCCCTCCTACGGGACTTACACACACAAGAGCAGAGACATAAAACTAACCCCACCCCAGATGGGCTTCTGGCCCTACAGACTACACGACGCCAAATAAAGGAGACTTTAGTGGCAGACGTAGCGAAAACTATGCTCTGGTCTAAGAGAACATATTATGAACAGGCTAACAAAATGCACACGTTTCTGGCCCGTACCCTACGCCCGCGCCCACGCCGAACACACATCACTACACTTAGGGATCGCGCAGGTCAGATCAAAACGGCACCGGCAGACATAGCGCGGATATTCACAGAGTTTTATACAACCCTATACAATCACACACCTACCGAGGCTGACAAAATACCGCACCTACGAGACGAGATCAGACAGTACCTGAGCAAGCTAGACCTCCCGAAGTTGACCCCTGTAGCAATAGAGTCTTTAGGCGACGAGGTCACAGCAGATGAAATAGATAGAGCGATATCACGCTTCAACGGGCATAGGGCCCCGGGCTCCGATGGCTATGTGGGCAGCTATTATAAAACATACCGAGAAGAACTGACACCGCATTTATTAAAATGGTTCAACTATTTGATGCAGGATGGACGACCAGACCCAGATATGTCCACGGCCCATATAATACTATTACCCAAACCCGGAAAAGACGCAACATACCCTGAAAATTACAGGCCCATATCATTGATCAACCAAGACGTTAAAATACTAGCCAAAATATTAGCAGATAGACTGTCTCCACACCTAACACACCTGGTCCATGCGGACCAGGTGGGTTTTGTCCCCGGACGACAGTTATTTGAAAACACCAGGCGTAACATTGACTTAATCTGGACGCAGACGATCACACGCACACCAACGCTCATGCTCTCTCTCGACGCGGAAAAGGCGTTCGATAGGGTAAACTGGACATACCTATTCGAACTCCTTCGACATCTCCACTTCCCCGAACGGTACATTACCACGATCCAAGCTATGTACACGGACGTTAAAGCACACATTCAGATTACGGGCGCCCAGACACCCCCTTTTAATTTACACAACGGCACGCGCCAGGGTTGCCCGCTGTCTCCCCTCCTGTTTGTCATCACTTTAGAGCCCCTACTGCAGGCGATCAGATTGAACCAATTAATACACGGAATCTCAGTGAGGGACCAAACATTCAAAGTCTCAGGCTATGCGGACGACGTCCTTCTCACGCTTACAACCCCAAGGACCTCAATGCTCGCCTTAGATAAAGAATTAGCAGACTACGGAGCCTTATCGGGATATAAGGTTAACCTGGGCAAATCGGCCGCACTCCCAATCGCAATGACAATGCACGACGCTACATACATAAGCACCCAACACCATATACCCATAACGCACACTTCCATAAAATATCTGGGTATACAACTCACCGCTGACCCCTCACAACTATACGGGGCGAATTTCACACCGATCCTCCGCACCCTTAATGCAGACCTTGACAGATGGACTGACAAGCCAATATCCTGGATCGGGCGGGTCCATACGATAAAAATGAACATCCTCCCGAGACTCCTCTTCCTTTTTCAAGCGCTTCCCATACCCATAACTAAAACAGACCTAGCCCCCTTGCAGAGGTCCATAGGGGATTTTATTTGGCAACGCAAGCGCCACAGAGTAGCACGCAATGTACTGTATAGACCCAGGGAAGGGGGTGGACTGGGCCTCCCCCATCTCTATAACTACTATTTAGCGGCTCAACTGGCGCAAATAGCTATGTGGCACTCAACACCGGACGACCGCAGATGGGCTGATTTGGAATCAGGAATCATGGGAGCGGACCTGCCCCAATTTTACATGTGGCTTCCCAGGGAACACAGGGCTATCCTGCGCACAGATTGCCCGGCGATCCTCAATTCCCTTAGAATCTGGGACGCAGTGGGCCAAAAATACAAACTAACCACCACACCCTCTCCTCTGATGCCCTTGTTGAGGAACAGAGCGTTCCCACCGGGAATGAGGGCCCGAGACTTCAGAAACATTGAGGTGGCGGGCCTACAGCGAGCGATCCACCTGTATGAAGGGGACCAAATAGTGACATTTGATAAGCTACAGGAAAACACCAGGCTTAGGCCCCCCGACTTTTTTCGCTATATTCAAATCCGAGACTTCGCACAACACAATCTGGCCAAAACGGCAGCACATACTGAGCCCACGGGCTTTGAGCGAATGTGTCTCAAAGAAAACCCCCCAAAGGGACTTATTTCATACCTATACGCACATTTATGCACAAACAGTGATTGGGGCGACTTGACCTACACCGCCCACTGGGAAACAGACCTCAAAGAGACTCTAGAGGGCACAGAGTGGAGAGAAATATGGGACGCAAACAAAGCTATTTCCACGTGCGTTACCCACCAAGAGCAGGCCTATAAGACCATGCTGCGCTGGTACACTACTCCAGTAAAATTATACCGCATGCGTAAAACTCCAAACGACTTGTGTTGGAGGGGCTGCGGAACCAAAGGGACGTACATCCATATGTGGTGGGAATGCCCGAAAGCGCAGGCCTTCTGGAGAGAAGTGGGCAACCTCCTAAGTGAGGTTTTTCACAGACAAGTCAAAACAGACCCATGGGTTTTTCTGCTCTCCAGAACACTAGAAGACTGGCCTAAAAAGGACCAGAAACTCCTACACAAAATCACACTAGCGGCCAGACTCACCATGGCGCAGGCATGGCTCCAAACTACAATCCCACAGATCAACACTGTACTCCACAAAATCAAAGATATCCAGGTCATGGACCACCTTACCGCACTAGTGAGAGACACCAGGACACGATACGAAAAGGTCTGGGAACCATGGTTATCAGGGAACTGGGAGAGCTACGGAAATCCCACTACAGGGCCTTCCCAAAGTGCCAACACTTAACTAGACACCAACAGAGCCTCTCACCGCACCGCTCCGGACTCCGCCACGGGGATCCCCCCCTCCCCCTCCCCTCCTGCCCTTCCTTCTCCCCCCCCCCTGCCCTACCCTTGCCTTTTATAATACGGCCTACTGGGGGCTACAACCAGAGCTGGACATCTGCGGTACTTACAATACCCAGTTATGGCATGTTTTCTTCTCTCTCTTTTCTCTTTATCCCTTTTATTGTATAAAGACTCACAATCTCTCATAAAATGTATGTATGTATGAAAATGCAAGAAAAATGACACTCATTAGCACATTTTTTCAAGCTGAACACACTCACGCAAACTGTAACGATGATATAATCATCTGTACATTGGATTACGTATTGGTTACCTATACCTTGTACCACATGTGTTTCTTCAGTATTGTATCGCACTGTCATACCAAAAATAAAGAATTAAAAAAAAAAAAGAATGAATAAATGAAAAAAAAATGTGCAAAAGTGTAGGTCAAATGACTTAAATAAATGTTATGCTAACATTTTTCAATCAAAAAGTGCTTGACAACGAACGGGTTAATGACCCGTATAAATAATAAAGTTCTAGACAGAAATTTATTGTTTATTTTAAATCAAGGAAAATAAGATAAAAACAGCATATGCAGGGTAAAAAGTGAATTCAAATCGAAGTTTACATATTTGGGCTGAAAGAGCAGAATTGAAAAATTTCTCCAAGACAATTATGTGTCTTGTTCAGATCCTTCAGATTAAAATAAAAAATTTACTGTGAATGGCCTAAAATGTTTTCTTTAATAGAATTTTGTCTTTATAAAGAGTAGACCTAAGTTGAGGTTGAAACGTTGCTGTGTCCTCCCATAAATCTACGTTATTGACACACTTTGAGTGCCTGGACCATCCTGTCCTTTCTACTACTGACCAAGGTCCAGCCAGCCTCAGATCCAGTTAAGCCCCTTGTTTGTGAAGGGAGTCCGGGAGACCTTGTATGTCTAGAGTACAATTTTTTTCTTTAGTGAATAATCCCAATGGACTTTATGCATATCAGGCCATGCTACCCAACAAATCATAGCTCAGACATAAAGGGGGAAAAATCTACAGAAGGGACTAGGATATATTGTGTATCCTGCCAATATATATTGTGTATCCTTATGTTGAGTGTCTCATGGAGTCAATGATGGCTAAAAAAATATTTAAAGAAAATGGTACTACCATATAGTTAATTGCTGCAAATTGCAAAAGCTATATCTATAGACAATAGCGGGTTACTCTAAGCATCACAACCATAACAACCATTCCCTGAATGAGAGCTTCAGCTGACAATGAATGGCACATTGTGCAAAAATAAAACCTGCACCCTGGGATATTCCGACAGGCAACAGAGGAGAGAGATTCCTAGTCGGAGTCGGAGAGGCTGCCAAATCATCCTGTCTCCATTTTGTCAGCTCTCATGCCATTGAGCTATCACAACTGTACCATCCTATGGGACTATGTCTAACCAGCTGCGGATTTAGGCTGAGGGAACCCTTGCAGTCTGACCTTACTGTCCCTCTTGTTTAACCTAGCTGCATTGCATTGTTGAAGCCCCCTAGTATGATTATATACTCTATTTTTGCGAATGCCTCTCTCCCTAATTTCCTTCATCTGATATAAGCTGTGGTCAGTTAAAAGATTTTCGTGGAGCTCTCACTGATTACCAGTCACTCAGCTTGCTTACCCTGATAACAGTCTAGCATATACCCCGAGTGCATGGGCTATCATTTATTTTCCTCTACGTTATCACTCATAGCACTGTGCTTTTCGAGTGTTCTATCAGGTGCGTTTAAAAAAACAAACAAACAAAAAGTTTCTCTAATGCACACACATACGTTCACATTGCCCATGTCTGTGTTTTATGTGCTTAAAGCTGTTTGATGATGATGCATATTTTCTGTATTTTGCCTGCACCTCAAAATAAAAATTGGAAAAAAAAAACTTGCACAGAATTTACATTAGCCAGCACGGAATTCTAATTCCATGCGGGCTGATGACACCACATGAAATGGCCCAAGACATGCATTTGACAGTGAAACGCTGCACATACACACGTCAGGCACCATCATGACTTTAAATCATGGAAGTGGTTATGGTGCTTGGAGAAAATACTTTAAAAGTATAGATAGGCATTTTTGCACTGTGGATGCTCCTAAGATAACCTCTACATACACATTGTTTGGAGAACTGAACTCAGGAAGGTCCTTGCACGTTGATTGTGGTCACAGTAGCCAAAAAGCATCTCTGGAACAGTCTGTCTGGGTCTTGCGGCTGATTGTCACAGTCCAGTTTATGGCTCAGAAAATGGCGTTTGAATCCGTTTGGCGCTGTAGACTGGTTGGATCTGCTGGGACCTTCCAAGGAACTCTGTTCTGCTCCTAAGAGAAACAATAATAGAGACAGCTCATGGTAACTGTTTCAATGTTTGCTATAACATCACATGTTTCATTGACAAAGTTTTAAAGGGAACCTATAGTTCCAAAAGTAACAATCATTTTTTCTATAGCTTCCCTTCAAGCAGTGTCATCATGGCCCAGCCTCATTTGCTATGTAAAATTAAAGTTAATTTAAATTTACTCACCTCATTTTCAGTGTCGAGTTTGCTCTGCTGACATTTTTTCATTAAATGGTTAAATATACGGGACCATTGCACCGAGTCAACTTCTTTGAGTTGAAGTGGTGGGTGACTTTAGTAGTCCTTTAAACTTCGTCACTGCAACTTGAAATTCCTTGAACTCAGTGGCAGAACTACTGAGGTCGCAAATGTGTTTGGGCCCTCTGTGTTCCGACTGCCATAGGGGGGACCAATAGCTGGACTGATGACCACCTTAGCATTCCCTCAAGAGGCTAAGGCAGAATAGAAACCTGCTTACTCAGACAGAAGGTGCCTACTCTGCCTAGATACTTTGTCCAGGGAGAGAATTAAGGAGGCGTGCAGCCAACCCCTGCACAATTACACATCCCACTCATGTGTATTGCTACGGGGCAGCAAGAGAGGTAAGGGGGGCCCATTTTTTATTCCTGCTCTGGTGCCCTGCATTTCCTAGTTACACCCCTGCCTGAACTGGAACAATTTGTGCAATGTCCTATGCTCTCAATTTGGCCAGTCTAATGCCACAGCTCAAACATTTAAAAATCGATAAAAAGGGGCTCCATCTCTTTCAGGGAGAGTGTGTGGCTGATGGTGGGAACTAAGGCTTGGCAGTTCTGGAACATAACAGGTAACTTTATATCATACTAACAGTTATGTCTACTAAAGAAAAAAATCAATCTGAACAAATTAAGTTATTTACGGTATTTCAAAGCACACATTCTATCATTTAAACCCAGAATTGCATTGTTTCCCCACTCACCCCTTTTCCCCCCACCAAAAAAAAAAGCATAGCATATTATCCTATAGCAGAGAAATAATAGCTCAAATTTCAACAGTATAACCTAATTGAGAATTGAAAGTGACAAAGTATCTGAACTGGAAGCATAGCTAACTCAAATTCAGCTATTTTGGACTTAAATTGAATACTCACTTTGGTGAAAAACCCTGTAAATGTACATATTAAAAAGGAAGGCTTGGTTTAAAAACATGCATATTTATAATGCATTGAACAATATAGTTAAAAAGAATAAGCATTCATTCGTTTTACAAGATTCCATTCCTGACTGCTATAAATCCTACCTTTATTTTATCTGCAGAACTTGTATCTGCAGCTGAGCTGACCCATCCCTCTTTTTGCTCAGCACAAATTTCCATGCTAGTGTTGGTCAGTGACCAGTCAAGAACTTCTCACAGATAAGCATTGTGGACTCAGGGGACGTAATATTGCATCTGATTAATATGCGCGCAAATAACAAAAGTGTGTTTAAAAAAATATACATCAAAATAAATTACTGTTGTGCTAGACAGAGTCTGCAGGGTTTCCGTTCAGTCTTTGTGTGAGATCACTACCTCCCACTTCCTAAAGTCATGAAGTAAACTATCTACAAAATCAAAACTTAACATAAATTGGGGCTAAAATTGATCTATCTTTTCAGAAATTGTGTATGGAGGCTGTAGAATTGACAGCCAGGGGAGGTGTGGCTATAGAACTGAAATAATTAAAATTATCCTAAATATTTGCAATTATTTAGAGACATAGTGACTAAATAGTGAACTTTTCGAAATGCAATTTGGCAGCCCAGCAGATGGCCTTACTTGGGGTTCTGAAAAGATCATGGACACAGATGAAGCAGTGGTAGGACAGTTTGACTCAGGTGCCTGTAGGATATGATGACAGTTCCTTACCTAGGTCTTACTATTGTTGTGGACAACATAATCGTTGGGTTGGTGGGCCTTTCCATAAACCATAGGCAGCTTGACAAATCAAAGTGTTGTCTCCATCCTTCCCATCTGCCCAAGCTCCAAAGACAAAAGGCTGCTGGCAGATTTGTCATTGCTTATCTTTCCTTTTTGCCTGAGCATAAATAAGACAGCCTGGACATCAATCTCAACTCTTGTCAGGAGCTGAGATGAGACCCTGGGGATCAGAGTCCTAGTGCATCATAACAGCCGGACAAGGTACGCCATCCATGGGTGTTGGCAGGTTAAGTAGGACAGCATAGATGTCAGAATCATCACGTGCACATTTCGCTCTGCCAGACCATTGAATCTAGGGTAATTGGGACAGTGTGAGGCGTACTGAAAATCCCAATGGTGAGCAAAGTTCTTTAATTCCCTACTTGAAAATAATGTTGCATTGTCAGTCATCAGTTGGTATGGAAACCCATGTGGAGAGAATTGCCAATTTAATTTCATGATCACAGTGTTACTGGAATGGTTCAGAAAAGCGTCAAACTCCCACCTGCCACAGTATGAATCTCCCAAAACCAGGTAATGCTTGCCTGATTACTCAAATATGTCACCTGCTGTGAAGGAACATGGTCTGTCAGGTACTTAGTGAAGTTGCAAGGTTTCTCTCATCAGGTGCTGTCTTAGAGCATTGCACGCGGCACATCTTGAAACCTTTCTTTTAATGTCACTGTACACATATGCTTAGTGGTGTGAAATTCAGGGTGACCATGATGGAGAGGTGACAAATAGTATTTCTAAAGAGAAATACGGTGTGACAGATCCATCTATATAGACTAAGATTGCTGGTTCGTCTGTTTTGCCTCTTTTAGAGGAATTACCTGTCCGTATGCCCCTGTTCGTCTATTTGACGTTTTTACTGAATTAACTTACCGAACGGACGGCCACCCAGAAGATAAGTGTGCTGCTGGTTAACCTCTGGATCCCAATTAGAATGTTGTGGTTAACTGCAGACACCTCTCAATTATAACCGAATACAGGGTGGAAGTCGTTCGTATGTCGACCACGAGGCGGCGGCCATTTTAAACCGTGCGATGGACCAGCAGTGTTCGGCACAGATTCTATGGAACTAAAAACGGACACTGCTAAAATCACAGACCGCCCTTCTCAGTCTTATATCGCTTGGGAGATATATTGATTCGGCTGTTAGCAGTGATTCATGGGTTTACCGCTCGAGAGCTGGAGTATCCGTACAGGTCCCGTTCGGGAGGTTAGCGCATTCCCCTGCTTGCAGTTCGTACGAGTGGAGTCTATACGAATGGAGGTTACAGCACTACGAGAGGGGAGGATTAACTAAACGGCGGTTTGACTATTTGATGCTGAGGGTGCCGTGACATACGGATTACCTCTGACCATGCAAAATTAATCATCCATTGTCAATTCATCCTTCATAGCATAAACCAGTCAGGTTGCAGGTGGAATTTCCTTAAATGAGCCATGATTTGTCAGTGATCTCACTTCTCACACCATGTAGATTTGCACAAGCAATGATGGACTTACCATCTAAACTTTAAGATAAACTGATTTTTGTTGTTGTCAATCTGTGTTTTATTGAGGCAACATAAGGACATTACAGAAAGAAAAAGTGGGGTTATATCAGTCTACACAGCAGATGTGCATTATACAGTGGCAATGATACAAACTCCCACAAAAAACTGCCTCAGTTTTATATAAAGAAAAGTACTTAGAATAAGGTAGTCAGGCTGTACTCGGAGATAGGTCGTACATGTGCTGATCAGGGTCAGAATAAGAGCCCAGTGGGCCTGGAGCTGACAATTATGATGGGGCCTAATTACGGAATCCTATCGACCAAAAACACTAAAACAGTCCTACGTCCCAAGCGTTGTGTATCTGATGGAGATGGGGTTGGAGGGAAAGGATGCAGCTATAAAAAGACATACCCTATGCTAATCTCTCTCTAATTTATGCTTTCATCTTTCAAGTAAATCCATATCCCCTAACAGCAGTGTCCAGTGAAGCAGGAAGTCAATGGGCGGGGTAAAAGGGTGTGCCACTGGTGTGAATCACGCGACCAGACCTGCCAAAAGGGGCAAACATGCCCAAAAAGGGGGCATGTCTGTCCAAAGAATTGAAAGGCCAGCCTGGCATGAATGCATGTCAGGCTGCCCGCCAATGATGCATGCTGGCCAACTAAGGGCATACTATGCAGACAGCACCCTGAGCTTGACATAAATGCATCAAATAATGCGCTCACTCCACGCTTTCTAAGGATTGTCCCCTAGCACTCACATGTCCACTTGTCTTCTTACCGTCTTACTACCGTCTTAAACCTGGCGTGTAGGGTGTATCTCGGTATGCCCCTACATGGAAGAAAGCTGGAAACCATGCCCTCGGTGGCATTGCTTATGTCATGCCCTCGGTGGCAATGGCTATGTTATTTGTTAATTATATGTTATAATGTGGCTTTACTTATTGTGTTGTGGGTCATTGTCTGGCGTCGTATTGTTAAAGGAGTTGGGGGGATATGCTATGTTAATATGTATCAATGACCCTGAAATATTTTAACTTTATTTATTTATTAGTAAAGCTGTGATAATTTTCCCAAATAAAGGTGTCCAAATATTTGTGGGGGAGTTTGGATTTATCATGCTTATGACGGAAAGGCGACTATGCATATGTTATGAACATTTAAAGGAAAACCGTGATCATTGCTTATTATCACTGAAAATAAAACATTTCATGTAATTTAAGTCTTCTTTGGTCGGAACCGTCTCTTATTGGAAGGAACAACAGACATGGTGATTTAATTAAGTAGAAGACATGGTGATTTAATTAAGTAGAATAGATAAGTAAGAAAGTACGCTAACTAGAGGAGGTTGGCACTTGGTAGGCGCTAGGTATTTAAGTGTACGGCAACCAGGGATAGAACTCATGAGGCTGGCGACAGACAGTGCGAAACACCACAGTATAAACTGCATTTGTGCATGTCGGCTGGCTTAAAAGCTAACTGACGGTTTCAATGGGCATCTCTGGGCAACGGGTCAAGCATACAGATCAATATGTATTTCCTATGGATT